AAGTAAAGCATAGATTGGATGATAAGATATATGCCGTTAAAAGAGTACAATTTGAGGGTAAATTCAATAACGTTTCATTTATTCATTTCTAACATTAAAGATATTCACAGTTTTTAGTGAAGAAAAGAAACAAAACATTTTGAAAGAAGTGAAAAGTTTGGCAAAACTCGACTAAGAATATGTGGTAAAGTATTACAACTCATGGCTTGAGTCCAATCATCTCTTCATTCAAATGGAGTTCTGTTCACAAAGTCTTAAATCTGTTCTCAAATACAAACCCATTGTTTTCGAGAGACAACCGGAAGAAGAGATGAAAGTTTTTGAATATTTCATTTGCTGTGAAGTATTCAAAGAACTCTTAGAATGTGTTCAATATCTGCATTCATGTGATCCACCGGTCATTCATCGGGATCTCAAACCCGACAATATATTACTCGAACATAACATACGATTTAATCGTTTCGTAAAACTATGTGACTTTGGTTTAGCCACCGATCACGTGATGGCATCCATGAGCCATTCGGCAGGTGTGGGTACTTCACAATACATGGCTATTGAAGCCCATCAGCGCCGGTACACAACCAAAGCCGACGTCTATAGCCTGGGAGTGATTGCACAGCATTTGTTTGACTTATTCAATATGTATTACATTTTTATTACATAATTATTTTTAATAAGATTTAATGACAAATATTTTTGTTTTAGTGAAAATCCTTTACAGAAATACAGTTTAACAGAATTTTCGTTACATTTTATTAAATTTTATCAAATTCTTGGATCAATGGTTAAGTTTAATGCCGACGACCGGCCGACCAGTGATCAAGTGCTGGACGACTATAATCATTGGTCTATTAATAAGTCTGTTATCACTAATCATAAGGATTTCAACGCAACACTAAATAAACTTAAATCTAATTATTATTCAATATTTTATGAATTTTTAATATGTAAAACAATTTAAAGTTTTTAATTATTTATAAATCATTTATAACTAAAACTTTTTTAAACTAAAGTATTTTAAATATAATTACTTAATAATTATAAATATCACAATAAAATACTTTTGTGATCTACTCTTTCGCTTATCAGAATTAATAATGTTTTGTTTACTTAATATTTGTGTTGTATAAATCATAAACAAATACAATTATCATTGAGTTTACTATTTATTGTGTTATTATATTTGTAAAATACGTCAATTTTAATTAATTTTCATTAAATATAATTTTTATTAAACCCAATTAAATACATAATTTTGTCTAATATAATTGTATTTGTTGTAAATGTCCTACTAATTTAAAACAAGTAATCATTTCATATTTTAAGACATATTGTTTGTGACAACTAATACTCGGGTCTATGGGTTGGGCAGTAATAGTGAGGGAGTGTTGGGTTTGGGACACAACCGACCCATACATACACCCGAAGAAGTCATAAAAGTATTTAATGATAATGCTAACTTATAAAAGTAGTTTTATTCAAACATATAACTGCCGCACTGTTTGTGTGATTATCTGATATAGCACTATTGCTAAATTTGGTAATGAGCTATGTAATTAGGGTGACCAACTGTCCTCTATTTGGATATATTTTGAGCAGAGTACGCTTAAGATTTACTACAGTATGAAAACCAAGGTTAAAACTTGTGTCCTATTTTTACTGTATGTTATCCCTTTTGTCCTCTAAAACTCTTTGAATGTGCTCTTTTTTCAAAATGGAAGTTGGTCACCCTATATGTAATATCCAAATACGATTAAAGTAAATATAATATATTACTTAAATAAATATAAAAATTAAATCATTTATTTAGGATAAATAATTTGTTCAAATGTTCCTTTTAAATAATTATTAAATAATAGCTTTAAAGATATTGTTTTTATTTTTAATTAAATATTTTACTAATAATTTTACGCTTATTCAATAACACACAAAAGTATAATACAATATACAGGTACTACATAATGGTATTATATAATACATTACCTATAAGTGGTATGTGTATAATGCTTCATTTATATATACAGTAATATTCAAATAAATAAAGATATAAATTTGAATATACAATAGATTTATTCTATAACATGGCATACATATTCAATTGTATACTATATTATTACTAAAACAATCGTGGCATCACAGAATGTTACTATACAACATAAATGATTATTCTATACCACTGTGACAATAATATTCTATTTATACTATATTTTAAACAATGAATTTACTTATCTCAGTTCAATTACACTGCTGGTACATAATGTTGTGGTATCTTTTACTTATACTTGTAAACACTTAGATAATACTTTAAATTAAGTTATTCATAAAACTTTCATGGAAACCATTATCAATATAATAAACACAAACATATTTATACAATATTGTAATTAATAAATACATGTACAGTAGATATTAATACAATGTAATAAACATTACAGACATATACATGTATATAAAGATATATAAAGATTGTTGTAAAAATAATAAATAGTGTAAACAAACTTAAAAATATATAATAAATTTTATATTAGTTAATATTATTTGTAAAATCAATTTTCTATCACAAATAATATCATACAAATTAAACTTATTTTAATAATATAGGCTATAAACAAATTATAATAATATACAATGTCTTTTAAAAATTTTATCCAATTTTTAAATAGTATTTTTAATGAATTATATAGTAAATTAAATATTTGTTATTTCACGTTGTATTCATTAATACTAGCAAAGTTCCGGCAAATAATTCACTTGCGTGAGTCAATTGAAACTAATTATAACATCACCTTTATATTATTAGTAAAATTCATAGTAAATGTGTTGTGCTTTTGTGTGCTATCCTATGGAGCCATAGAGTTAACAATAGATTACTTTACGTATCCATTTGTTTTCAGTGTTAACGTAAAGCCGAGCAATGAATTGCTTTTACCAGAAATTACAATCTGTACGGAAAGGGATGTGTTTTTTGACAAAACGAGGATTAGTAAAGAATATAATTTGAAATCTGAATATAAACAATGGATGCAAACGGTTAAAATAATTCTAAAAAATCTGACTAAACAAGCAGGGTGTAAATATGAAAAATTTTATAAATTTCATCCATATATTTGCAAAAATCCCTCTTTTGTCGACAATTATTATTTAAATCATTTTTATGACAAATATTTGCCGCAAATGTTTGCCAACTATTCGTTCAATGATTTATTCAATCGATTCTCAATTAATGGCAACGAATTGATTAACTGTTCGGCAAAAGTGGGCATAAAATACAACAATGAGTACAGAGTGTCCCATAAATGTGTCTCTAATGACGACAACACTGTTTTGCACAGTATTTACGGTACGAAAGACTTTGGCGTTTGTTTTAAATACTTCTCAAACGACGGAAATACTAATCACTTCTCTCTCATTGACGATTATTTCGTTGAGTTTCGCATATCGTATAAAAAACAAAATGATATTTATTTAACTGATACTAATTTGGATATTGTTCATAACAAAACATTTTATTATAAGCCTTTATCAGATATAAAAATGAGATCATTTAATGAATATCTGGTATTATATGTATTCGTGAATCAAATGTCTAATGAATTGATGCCAACAAAAGGAACGGCACTTAAGATACCGAGTGTTGGCACTAATGCAACGATAACTATATACAACACGTTTGTCAAGAGATTATCCACACCTTATATGCATTCGTGTAAAGAAAATACAGGTATTTTCATACAATCAGTGAAATAATGTCATTCCAAACTGTTTTTACTCCCGATCTTTACTTATAAAGTGGTATGTCTTTGTAATTAATCTATTGGTTAATTAATTAAGGCAAAATATTAATCAGTATATTTACAATATCTTATTTCGAAGTATTTAATTTTAAAATCTTTTAGTTTTTATACAATTTCCTATTATATTATCTATTATCCATATTATAATATTTTTATTATAATATTTAAACAAGGTTCACACATAGGTTAAACAAGCGATGTTATACGTCAACCACAATTCGGGTTTTGCTCAAAGAATAGATTAGCACTATATACATATTTATCTAGTCTGTCATTAAGTATTGTCGCCTCAGAAATCTTTATATATCCCAAACGAAATGAGCTAGATCAAATCTGTAAACTGTAATATGGTGGTCCATATATCTAGTTTTTTCCTGACAGAATGATTAAAATCACGTGACTATATCATTTAGAATAGTGGGTCATTTCGAATTGTCACGGTTTTAGCCAAGTTGAAAGGGGGGTCGGAGAAAGGCGAGTATTCTGTTGTGTAGGGCAGATGTTACATTCTAATAATAGCTTTAAACCATCTTCATCAAATTGCAGGATTTTACACAGCATGTCACCAAACTATGGTTAATTTGCAGATTACCCTATGTGACATTTTAAAAATATTATTTTTAAGCATACTTAACTATATAATTAATTAATTACACTTGGATTGCCGGCGGATGCCTAACAATCCTATAAACCACATTATTCATGGCTGAATTGTTATTAAAATTTGTAATTTTATTACAAAATACATTGTATATTACAGATTTCTACGCCAATTGCTACTGGAAATGTGTGTACAGAGAATACAATCGATTATATAAATGTATACCAAATCCATATCTAAATGAAAACTTTATTCTCACGAATACAAGTCAAACAATATATAAGTTCTGTAATAATTCAATGATTTTTAACGAATCAAAAATTAATCACAACGATTGTACAAATGGTTGTTTTAAAAATTGCCATCAGATTTACCACACTTTAGAATTGGATAAAACAGAGTTTAATGGATTAGGATATAGTTGGCTTCGACTTAAACATAAATCATATCAAGAATTTCATTATACAAGTGATAAGAAATATTCATTTGTAAAATATATGTCAGACATCGGGGGTCTGTTTGGGCTGTGGTTTGGGGTGGCGTTCATAGACACGAGTGCTTTGATTGCATTACTATTCGCTCGCATTAAACGTTTATTACTGGCGATTATTAACGAAAGGCTTATAATTTTTTCGCAATTAATATACAATCGTATGAATCGATTGCTATCACGATTGGAATCGTATAATTGGCGTAGAATTGTGTCAATCATAACAATACCTATTATCGCATTACAAATCTATTTATTATTTTATGATTACTTCTCATTTCCCACACAAACGACACTCAAAATGATTGATTTGAGAAACATTTCATCTAAAATTAAACCAATGGCAACAACACCTGCTATAACTCTGTGCTATGAACTTGCAATTAGAGATATTGTCTGTAAACAACGACATAGAATTTATATTCGGAACATAATAAAAAATGATCGTGATTACATAGATGAAAAATTTAGGATTGTTGTAAAATATAATCATTCGCATATTAAATACCAAAATTTATTATCATGGTATTATTTTATGGGATTGGATTCTGGAAAACCATCAAGTGAATATCTAGGCAATTATGTAAAAATTCTCTCATATTATTGGCTCAAATATTTTAATGTATCAAGTGTTAAACAGTTTGACAAAATTGATCATGATCGTTATATTCAATATGGTTTCGTCAACTCAACATTAATGGATATAAAACAACTCGATAAATACATTGAATGTAATTTTGGCAATAAGCTATGCATAAATGTTAAACCACCAGTGGTCACACTATCCCCATTTGGTCGGTGCCAGACTTTTTTGGCCGACAATAATGGAATTTCAGTGGCCAACAATATATCCACAAAAGTGTTTAACCATATTATCGATGGCTCGGAATATATTGTATTTAATGAAAAACGACGATTAGATGGTATAATAAACCGGATAAATATATTGAGAAAACGTTTTATTATTCATTCACCGAAAGAGTTGCCAAAACTGACGGATAGTTGGTTTGAGTACAAGGACTTTATGGATATGGACGGCAATATTGATACACTTTCTGTTAAAGTTATACCATATGAGTTGAGACGACTGCCGGCGCCGTACGATAGCGGACAACCCGATGAGTCTGGCGGTGGATGTCGTGTTCGGTCCGCCGGAGACACGCAATACGATTGTCTGCAGCGATGCTATCGTAAGCAATACGACAGTCAATACACAAACACAACCACTTGTTATGCGGNGCAATACGATTGTCTGCAGCGATGCTATCGTAAGCAATACGACAGTCAATACACAAACACAACCACTTGTTATGCGGACAACGATTTGCAGACAATTGTGTTAACAATTGGTCACAAAATAGTAAAGAATTTTGTCAATAAATGTTTAACACGATCTAATCAATCATATATTGAATATATTTATTGTCGATTTAAATGTCCGGCAGATTGTAAGGAAACAATTTATCAAACACTACGACGAGAAGTAATAAGCTGGAATGACAATATGTCTTTAATAACAGAAAACAAAATAAATTATTATACATTATTCACATTGGAAAATAGTAATTATTTACAGATAAACTACATCGCCAAAACATTATTCGTCGATTTAATTATTAGTGTGGTTAATGTGTTAAGTCTATGGCACGGACTAACAATTGTAGCTCTGTTGCATATTTTAATCGAGTATTTCGTGAATAGATTCCGAATATTCCCGATCGACAGGAAAGTTCGTCAACGCATTCGATGCCTTAAATCACTAATTAATTTGACGCCATCTTTCAGATCACAATATTTACGGGTAAATAACATTATTTTTATTATTAAATAAGAGAATAACACCAATTATTATATGACAATAAAAGGATACAAACTCTTGATTGGTTGTGCACTCCTTGTTTATAACTATAATATAGTCTACAATAATAATG